GATCCTTTTCAACCATCGCCTTCACGTATTCACATATTACATCGGAGTCCAATAGTCGGTGGTCTTGTTCGATGGAGTTTCGCAAACATGTGTGCGAACCATTGTACCTCGTGATGACCCAAACATCGTGCCTTTGATTTTTCGACACTCTGATCTTCCACTTGCACTCTGGGTCATATTTTACACACTTTGCGTATAGGGTTTTTTGGTTGGACTCTGCAACATGGACATCAACATGGCATTTGATGCAGTACTCTTTAATCGCCAGCGTAGCTTCATTTTTTCCTCTGAATTGCACCCCAACTGAAAATTCACCAGAATTATCGAATGATTCAGTCATTTGGTACGGAGGTAAATGTGGCATGTCTGGGAATTCAGGTGCCCTCATTGCATCATAGTTTATCTCGTACATGTGAGGAGTAGCTTCATACGGTGTCGGAACTTCATCAATTGCACCTCCACCAAAAATATTTTCGTCGCCGCCCAAAACGGGTTCTTCAGTTTCTTCATCTTCGCTTGAATCATCATGAATTTCTCCCCATCGATTTTCAGCGTCAATATCAACAACCAATTCCGGTATGTTTCTCGTCTCATACTCTGCTACTGTAGATGTCCCCCCGACTTCATTTACACTTTCCAATAGTGCCATAAAACTGTTCGGGAAACTGTATGTCGGCTCCTCAAACTGACTATATAAAGCCATTTCAGATGGATTTTGAGCCACACCTCTTGATGACATAGGAACATCACATATGTTATGCACATCAACAAATAATTCAATAACTGCTATATTGGTTGACTCATGTAATCCAATCATGGTTCCAATATCATCATCTTCTTCAAGTGGAACTGCAGCATATCTGACTGGGTTAGAGCATATCATAAACCTATACCTCAAACCATCAACTGCAGCTCGAATTTTTCTTTCTATCTTATGCTTCATTTCTATAAATATGATGTCTTTTTTGAACATCATATTTATTGGTTTTTCAGACTGAAAAACTACTCCGACCTCATTTTCCATAATCTGTCCATTATAATGGACAATCGTGAAAAAGTTGTTGCTCATTTTCTCTACAAATAAAAAAATAAATTAATTTAGATTAAAAAATTAGATAAAATAATTTCATAAATTATTAAATATAATATAATATACTATTATATTAATGATCAAATAAAATTTATTATTTAACTTGATTGATTGCTTACTAATAAACCTAATAATGATTTGATAATTACTATTAATCTAATGATTTGATATTTAATGATTTAATAATAATATGATTTAGTCATAATCACTAATAATTATTTATTATAAATATTTAATGATTTAGATTTGATACTAATCATTTAGTAATTATTACTAATAATAATGATTAGTTGATAATATTTTTTATTTTTTAAAAATATCAAACAAATTTGTTAGGCAAAACTGTTGAGATAATGTTCTCGAAATAATTATTTCGCGAGATAATGCGTTGTCCGGATTATTCATTCAATTAATTTTTACTTCTTACTAATATACACATACAATGTAAATTAAACAAATATTTTTAAAACAACACTAAATATTTTTAAACACAATATTTTTTAAAACGGAAATTATCTCGCACAAATTAGTTTATATAATCTAATATAAACTTACTAACTAACTAATTACACATACACAACAAAAAAATGGACAACAAAAATAATAAATTACTCACGTCTTTATGCCTTCTTCCTTTACTTTCTTTTCCTGCCTTGTTTCTTTCTTCGAATCAATCTGTACGTGGGCAATATTGTGAAATAATGTCCTGTATGTGTAAACAAAATATTTATTTAAACAACAATAGCTCCCACAAATTAATTTTATATAATCTAATATTATAATATACCTTAAACTAATAAACTATTTCTTTATTATAATATAACTTAGTTAAAATAACAAACTAATTAAGCACTAATTAATTTTTTTTATAATATAACTTCAATTTCAACGAACAACCTAATATACGTTTAAAGACACTAACAAATTAATTAATATTTTTTATATTTAATAACTTAAACTAAGAAACTAATTAACTAATTTTTTTATATAATATAATATATAACTTAAACTAATAAACTAATATAATATAACTTAAACTAACAAACTAATTAACTATATTTTAGTTTTACCCTAAACCCGAAACTAACAAACTAATAATTTCATATAATAAACTAAATTAAACAATAAAAAAATTACCTCACGAACTATGTTTGAGCCTTTATCTTCTTTTCTTCTTCTTCCTTTTCTTTCTCTCGGCAAAGTTTATATGTGCTTATGCTTCTGGTTCTGCTTGTGCTTCTACCCTAAACCCCATATCCTTTATATAAAGCAACTGAGCGTTGGACAGAGTCATTAAATTTGATTGTTGAAGCAAATAATATTAGCATTGCATCGTCTAACTATTGAGCATTGAAAGGCTGACAGCTAAATTAACGTTGCAATAACGTAACTATAGATGCAACACATACAGCTACGGGTGCAGGAATCTCTCAGCTATGATGCAACGCATGCATGCAGCTACAACAGCTATAGGAATCTCCCAGACCTTGGTCGCCGAGACTCCATGGCGACCTACCTACCACGCCGCCGTGACCTACACCGTTCGACGTGCATGGCCCATGCACAGTTCCCACATCCCATGCACAACATGCATCCCCTCCCCCATGCATTCCCACGTCCCATGTTGATTGCATGGCGACCTATTCCTTTGCAAAATACACACAGGTCGCTCAGATGCCATGGCGACCTCCAAGGTCGCCCGGATGCCATGGCGACCTCCAAGGTTACTGTAGAATTCACCCCATTCCAGCAATTAATCTGGGATGTGCATTATATCGTGAATAAAAAAGTTCGAGAACATTATCTCGTGAATTCACCCCATTTTAATCTTTGTAATTTGTTATGGTTATTTATTAATAAAAAAATTGTTAAGGTTATAACAAGGGTATATTCAGCTTTGTTGCTTTATATTTTTTTAGATCGTAATTTTTAAATTTATTGAAAATATTATTTTTTTTAGAGTTTTTTTTGCTCTTTAAGTAAGATTAGGACTAGATTTAAAATTTATAAAAAAAAATAAGAGTCAATAATCTCTAGAGCATGTGTTAAAATTTCTCAGTTGACATCTTATTTCTCTTCTAAGTTATAGGTTCAATACTCATTTGAGTGATTATATTTTAGTCTTGTAATTAATTTTTTTAATAAAACTAAAATGTAACGTTAAGTATGATCTAAAAAAATAATAGTTAAGTGTCCATAATGAAACCAACAAATAGTTGAATGACTAAATATGTAGTCTATCCTAATAAACTAGGGTTATACACCAAATATCATTCAACTTCAAGTTTAATATTGATTTTAAAATTAATTTTTCCTTAGCTTAATTGTAAAGTTTAACTTTAGTTTAGACTTCGATTATAATATTATATTGTTAATACATTAATAATCGAATGATGTGATAATTTTGATGCTAATATGAAAGCTAAATAATTGACTTCTTTTTTAATCTTATTTTCCATCATAGGTAAAGTTTTTCACTCATTTTTAAACATATTGAAAATTGTTATTCTTCGACATCTTTCACGATTTCCCTAAACTTTGATGAGTTCGTCTCATCGTCTTTTATCACTTATTCAATTTCAATTTTCTTAAAAAACAAAAATTGTGAAATTAAATTTTAAAAATATATTATTTTTTTTGCACTTTTGAAACTTTCACATATCTAAAGGATTTAAATATTGACTTAAAAATTCATATAACAAAAATATTGATTCAAAAACATGAACAATATACCTAAAATTAATCTTATAATCAAAAGAAACCGATACATTATAACATCAAATTGTACCGGTTATATTCTAGTTATACTAACTTTACGCGCACGCATGCATATATATATATATATATATATATATATATATATGATCAATGTTATTAGTTTAACTTCACCATATATTTGGTTAATTTTTTAAATTGTTTATTTTTATTTTCTTATTAGGTTATGAATTTTAAATTTAGATATTATTTTTTCTTCCTCAAGAGTCTTTCTTCCCTTCCCCTTATGGTGTGTTTGGTTCACGGAATGTAAGATTACCAGTGGGAATAAAAGATTACCAGGGAATAGGATTACTGGGAATGTTGTATTTTGTGTTTGGTTTGTTTAGCAGGAATGTAAGATTACTGTGTTTGGTTAAAGGAATAAAAGATTATTGGAATGTATATTTGACCAAATTGTTCTTATTATATATTTGTATAATATTACAAATTGTAAAATATTTATATATTTTATTTAAAAAATTAAATTCATAATATTTATATAATTTTTTTACAAAATTAAAAATATAAAAAAGGTTCAATGAAAGGGTAAAATTTTTTTAACCTCTGAACTTCATATAAAATTTTAATTATAGATTTTTTTTTGTAAATCTAAAATAATTTAAGGATAAATTTGTAATTTAACATTCGTAGAATTTTTATTATTCAATGAAAGAAGAATGATATTTTTGAAAAAAAATAAAAATTTAAGGGCATTTTAGTCCAAAATACCGGTAATGTTACAATACCTAAGGGAAGGGAGGTAATGAATTCCCGGGAATATACCCAAAAAAATCTACTATTGGTAATAAAATATTACCGGGAATGAGATTTCATGTCAATCAACCATGGGAATCTCACAATCCTTGAACCAAACACCCCTTTAAAGTAATATATATATATATATATATATATATATAACTTTCTACCGTCCTATCAAATTTTAATTAGGGTAACTTTAAGCAAAAAAACCTATTTTTTCTAAATTATTTACTAAAAAAATATAAAATAAAAATGTTTTATTTTGGTAATTTCCCGATAAATTCTTAAATGGTTAATATTATTTTCTTAATAAAAAATCAGGATCGGGTCACTCACATAAACCCGACCCATCTATCTTTTCACAATTTATATCTCAAGTCCCGTCCCGCAACCATCAAACATCGCCCCAAACGCTCCTTCTCCGCGCGTGCTATATCTTGGCCTTCTCTTCGTCTACCGTCTACTTCGCCCGTCGCCGTCTATCCCGCTCCGGTCCACCCGATTCTTGACTCGGTTCCTCTCTTCCGGTCCCGCCTTCAAGTTCTCGACAGCTCAAACTGAAGGCCGAAGCCCATAAGCTAGGAGACTCAATGAGGTAATTCTTGAATGCCTAAGCTAATAGGTTTCTTCCTTATCCGTGAAATTTTTGTGTTTTTATTTGATTTGTGGTATATGATCTCTGGTTCTGCATCTTTTTTTATGGCGCGTTTGGGATTATGTTTTTAGTTCACGTATTTGATTTCTGTTTTCTCTTTAATTTTTGAAATTTGAATTATAGAGTTCGACTCCTCTCTGCTATTTTGCGGATGGGTTTTGCAACTGATTCGGTTCAACTATTTGTTTTTTTCCTTTATGAATGTTTGAATTGTATAGTTTTTTGCAACTGATTCGGTCCATGATGTTTTTGAAGGATACACACAGCATAAACTTTTCTTTGGTTGAGTTCCTATAAGTTTTTGTTATGGGTTTTGGTGCAGTTCCCTGTAGATATATATCAGTTAATGTGTAGATAAGATAAATTCCAGGAAATAAGTAAAAGTCTTTTGAGTTTTGTTCGTATTGATTATGGTACTGAATTTTGTGGCCATTTGATTATGTTCTTGGAAGAAATTGAGGATTGGCTATAGTAGCATCTTATTTTATATATCATTTTAGTTTTGAATTGAACTTGCTGCATTTATCCTTCTCACTTTATAAAATTCACTATTTAAACTAAAGGTCGTGTATAAATTTAACTTGCAGGAACAAAAGGTGCAAGACCGAGAAGTTGGAAGACCAAGAAGAACTTCAAGGGTCAACCTCTCAGGGTTTGATTGAAGAAAAGTTAGGTAATGTTCCTTAATTTGGTTTGCTACCCCTCTAGTTTTTTTGAAACTTGTGCTTTCCACTCCCTGAACTTCAGCACAATTGACTGGACCTTCTTTGAAATATCACAAATTTTATTGTTTTTGAAAGGGGAAAGCTTGATCAGACTAAATTGTTTTTCTTAACAAGAGTTAGGCTGGCCTCTTGGTTTCTAGCAAAGAATAAGGATGTTTCTATTCCTAAGGACTCCTTAATTTCTGATCCTTCTATAGGGGATTCCTATTCCTCCTTCAATTTCTTGAAGTCTTCTATAATCTCTTGGTTACCTCCCCTTATGGGTTTCATCAAGTTGAATGTAGATGCAACCACTAGCAGTGATTGGAAGAAATCAGGTCTTGGAGGTCTTATGAGGGATCAATCTGGTGCAATCCTAGGTTCTTTTCAGGAGCCGGCTGGATCAGGACCTCCAACATTGAAGGAACTTAAAGCTATTCAAAGGGGTATTTCTTTCTTTGCCTCTTTTCAAGGAAGGGTTAAAGATAGGCTGATCGCTGAGAGTGATTGCAGGATTGCAGTAGACTGGATCAATAATGTTGACTCATGTCCAGTTGTATATGGTTTCATTGTTAGAGATATTGTTGATAGTCTTAGAACTTTCGGGGGGTGGTTAGATGGGTTGCAAGGACAGCTAATATGGATGTTGATGCTTTAGCAAAGGCTGGTATAAGTTGATTTTTAGGTTGTTGGCTTCTTTAGTTTGGTTTTCTGGTTCTAGTATTGTTCTAAGGGTTTTTTGGAATAGTTTTTCCAAGGTTGTAATGTTTATTTTCTATAATGAAATTATAAGGCACTCTTTTCCTCCTTCCGATGATTAAGAAGCTTCTATACAACCTCCATTAATCAAGAAGGAGGTTTTTAATGAGGCCTTCAAATCTTATCAAAAAAAAATAATGGTTTTTATGATATATAGCTTAGACCAATTTGGTTGGAACTAGCCTATTCTTAAGATTTTATCTAATACAATTGGTAAATGCTCAAATGGGACGTGTCTGTTTTAGATGGTTGCCATACTGAAGCTTTCAAAGTTCTGAAACCTCAATTGGTTTTGTTTGTTATGCCCCATGAAAATTGTTTTTATACTGTTGATGCATTCATGCATCAACATATGCTCGCTCTTTCTTGGACTTTCTTTTTGCCCTAAAACTACCATAGAGAACACATACTAGAAAAAGGCTTTTGCACAAGGATTGACATTTTTGTGTAAAGATGTAAGAAATTGTTACATTTGTTACTAACTAAAGCAGTGGATATGGGGTTGTTTTCGGGTTTTGAGTTAGGAGTTCAAGATCGTTCCTTCAAGCTATCGCATCTACAATTTGCGGATGGCCTTATTATTTTTTCAAAAGCTTCAATTCGGGATTTGAAGAATGTCAGAAGGATGCTTTTGATATATGAGTTATTGGTGGGATTGAAGATTAATCTAGTCAAGAGCATAATTTTTGGCATCAATGTTGAGGAGGATGTGCTAGCCGATTGGTCTAAGGAAATTGGCTGCTCAATGGGTAACTTTCCAGCGGAATACCTAGGCTTGCCTTTGGGGTCCAAGAGAAATTCTGTTGTATTGTGGGAACCAATCGTGCAAAAATTTCATAATAAATTGACTGGCTGGAAGGCAAACTCTCTAGCGTTAGCAGGAAGGGTGGTGCTGGTCAAAGCTGTGCTATGCTCTCTCCTTACTTATTTCCTTTCATTATTTCGAATTCCAGTTACGGTGTTGCAGAAATTAAACTCGATCATGGCTGTTTTTTTATGGGGGGGGTTCGACTGATAAAAGAAACATACATTGGGTGAATTGGGAATTGGTCAGTAAGCCGAGAAGGTTGGGGGGTCTAGGGATCCCGAACTTAGCAATTTTGAACAGAGCATTGTTGGGTAAATGGGTATGAAAGTTTACCTCTGAAAAGGATTCTTGGTGGAAGTGGGTGGTTTGTTGTGTGAACAACTTGGACCCGAGTTGCAAAATGTTGGAGAATACTTGGACGGCTCGTGCCTCTTGGATTTGGAGAGGTGTAATTAATAACTTCTTTTCTAATGATGGGTTTGGGGAATGTATTAGGAATAATTTGCGGTTGAAAGCTGGTAACGGTCACTCTGTGACTTTTTGGAATGATGTTTGGTTGGGAGAAGTCCCCCTTAAAGATTTGTTCCCTAGGCTGTATGCTCTGTCGATTAATAAAATGGGTAAAGTGGCGGAGTTTAGGGCGAATAATGCTGCAGGCTGGGTGTGGGATATTCAAATGAGAAGGAATCTGGTGGACTGAGAGATTGAGCAATGGTTACACCTGATTTCTATGTTGAATAACATCTCATTGTCTCATGAGGAGAAGAATTGCTGGATTTGGTTAGGGAATGGAGAGGGTTGCTTCTCTACTAATTCTTGTATTAAGAGTTTCCTTGAGTCGGTCAGTATTGAGGGGAATCAGGATTTTTGGGATAGAAATATTTGGGTGGGGATAGCACCTCCCCGGGTTGAAACATTCGTATGGCAAGTTGTTCATCAGAGAGTGGCGGTTAAGGAGGAATTGTTGAAGCGTGGAGTGGTCGGGATTGAAGATCCCTTATGTCCGTTGTGTGGCAGTTTTGGGGAAACAGTTTCACATCTTTTCTTGCAGTGTGAGGTAACTTGGGGATTGTGGGCCAGATTTTCAAATTTGTGGAACGTTTCTTGGAGTATTCCAAATAACATATTAGAATGTATTAGTCAGTGGGATGATCTACTTCCAAATTCTTGTATTTGGAAATTCATTCCAAGGGCCGTATTGTGGACGATATGGAAAAGCAAGAATGAGGTTATTTTTAAGAAGGAAAAGTTGGATGTGGTGATGTTGTTCTTTATTGCTCTCTTTAGAATTGTGTCTTGGTTTGCTGCTAGTTTTGACACGCAAATCCCTTTTGACTCATTAGTGGGTGATCTTACTCTTGCTGATTCGGTTGATAGACAGAAGAAAGGAAGATCCCAACCTTCTTGCTGGGTTCCTCCTCCAGATGGTTTCTTAAAGATCAATGTTGATGGAGCAATGGTGAAGGGTTGGACTAAAGGTGGTATAGGAGGTTTGTTGAACTATGTTTCGATATAACAATTTAAGGCAAAATGGTTTTTGGACTTGAATTGAATTTACAAAATGTATTTGGACTTAATTGAATTTATTCAAAATTTACAAAAATAATTCAAAGTTCTTTTAATTTAAAATTGAGCACAAAAATGTTTTTATGAATAGTAATTTACTATTTGAACAGTAAATTACTATTTGAACAGTAAATCACTGTTTGAACAGTAACCCGAGGCTCAAAAATTCCAGTATGTAAAAGGGGAACCGATTCCCCCCAAGAGGGTACCGATTCCCTCACTGTTCATCAGCCCAACGGTCATAATATTTGAATATTATGAAGGGGTATCGATTCCCTATGAAGGGGTACCGATTCCCCCCATTCTGGGCAGCCTATTTTTGCAGAAAAATCATTCCCAAACGGCTCCAAAACATCCCCAACGGCTAGATATGACTTCAAACACATTTCAAACTATAAATACAAGCTAAGGACACTTGAAGAAGAAAGAGAACAACTATCCAAGTAATCAAACACAAGAGAAGAGTTTTTCATTCTTATTTCATCTTTCTCTTGTAAATATTTTGTTCTTGTGAGCTTAATTCTTGTAAACACCTACCTTAGAGAGGTTTTATTGTTTACATCTTTTATCCTTTTGTAAAGGGGAAATGTTATAGCTTAGCCCGTGTAAAAGCTAGGGAAATGTTCTAGTTTAGCCCGGAAAAACTAGGGAGTTGTAAGGTTATCTCTTTGTCCTCAAAAGAAAGAACAAATTAGTGAATTTGTTGGAAAATCCTTGGTGAGGAGCTAAGGTAGTAGACGTAGACTTTGATTGAGAAAGTCGAACCACTATAAATCGCTGTGCAATTCTCTATCTTTCAATCTCCTTACTCCCTAAACACAAAACCGTTCCGACCCCTCTTTGCAAATCGTTCCGGTTGTCGTTTCGAGCTTCCGAAAATCCTAACAAGGTTTGATTAGGGACAGTAGTGGTGTGCTGATTCATTGGTTTTCTGAAAATGTTAGGGGTGGTCCTCCGATTTTGGCAGAACTTTGGCGATAAAGAGGGGGTTGAGCTTGCTTAATGATCCAGGTTTGGTTCTTAATCAGAGGATTATTTTAGAATCGGATTCAAGTGTCGCGATGAAGTGGATCAATAATCCGGAATTAAGCAACCCTATGTTTCAATCCTTAGTGAAGGAGATCGTCTCTTTAAAGGAAGGGAAGGATGTTTTGTTAAGACTTATCTTGAGGGCTGCCAACTGGGAAGCGGATAGATTAGCTAAAGATGGTATAGGTTGATTTTTGGCTTTGTTTGTGGGATGATAGAGGGTGGATTCCCTTCGGTTCAGAAGGGATTTTGTTTCCAGTCTTATGTAATTAGTGTTAAGGTTTTTCAGCAGAAGGTGGTTTTTAAGTCTTATGTTTTGTGGGAAGGTATTAAGTTGTTGTTAGGGATGGCAGTGTATTATTCTTCAGATTAATAAAATTACATGCACTCTTTTCCTCCTTCCAATGCCCTTCATGTTATTTGCGTAACAGTGAGGGTAAGAAGGGGTTTTTTAATGAGGCCTAATCTTCTATCAAAAAAAAATGTGTGTTGTCGCATATCACTTTGAATGTACTGTTAGAAAAGAAAAACGAGACAAAGGTTTACGTACATAAACTGTATCTATGCAGCTGGTAAGTTTTGATTTCTGTTTAGTGTTTTACTTTCTTTGCTAATTCCACATTTTATACACGCAGAGGTATCTTTGAATAAGGATATATGTACACATCCTGGTTCGTTTGGAAAAATGTGCATCCGTTGCGGGCAAAGGGTGGATGATGAATCCGGTGTAACATTTGGTTATATACATAAGGTGAATAATCTCTCTTAACCGTCACTCATGGAAATGACAGTTTGCGGAATTGTTTCTACTATTTGTCACTATTTCATTATTTGTGTTCTTTATGTGCTGAGACAGGATGATGTGTTTCTGATCAGCTATGATTAGTCACAAAAAAGTTTTGCTCTGTAATTCCAAGCATTAATTTCAAATCATAAGAATGAAAATAACAATAGTTAGCTGTGTTTATATTGATTGTCTCTGAACTAAGATGTGGGAATAACTTTCTTTGCAGGGTTTAAGGCTTGGTAATGATGAAATCGTTAGGTTACGCAGCACAGACATGAAAAATTTGTTGCATCATAAGAAGCTTTACTTAGTTCTTGATTTAGATCACACACTGCTAAACTCTACTCTACTCAATCACCTAACATCTGAGGAAGAATATTTAAAGGCCCAATCTGATTCTATTCAAGGTATCTTTTTTTAAGTTATTTAAGTCTTCCTGTTGTCCATGTTTTGGTAGTGTAATTTACCTTTTAAGATCTATTTTCTTTTTCAAGCCACTAGCTTTATCATGTTAGTGTGTTCTTGTGATAGATATCATGTGAAAATAAGTTTTGCTTCAAAGATTCCTTTGGTGAATCTAAATTTAAATCAACTAGGCCTATGGTGTAAATATTTTGGTATGTTTTGATTGATATTTTTGACTGTTAATTGTTGTAAAAAAATTTATTCAAATTTCTAAGGTTATGTGAAATTCTCATCTGAAGAAACTGCAACATTGTGGTTATGACATGTGGATGAAAAATTTATGTACCCTTATTTTGAGATTAAAGTCAGCAAAAGTTTTATGGGATGCTTCAGTCTTTCTGCACAATGCCATATTTGGTGAAATAAGTTACACTTGGACTATAATATATTGTAGCCAAAATGTAACAGTGAATGATCTTAAACTCAAATTTTAATATATTATATATATTAACTTTTAAAAAAATGATCAAATATGATGGGTGCTATTAATTGTAGTGGTTGTAACTCTGAGGACTAAGCATCCTAAACTAGTTGTATCAAACTTAAACCGAACAATGGAAAGATGACAAGAAGCCTTAGGCTTTATGGTTGGAAAATGAATATTTATTAGTTGATTGGGATAGTATTAGTCTTGCATTCTCTGGAAATTAAAAAGAAAAATTAACTATAAGAACTCAACAGTTCGATAAAGTTATGCTGGCTAATCTGTGTGCTTTTATGGTGTGTGTTTCTTGAATCAACGAGTTTCAATTTTTGCATGTCATTACGTGGTTGGTAGTTATATGTATACATGTATACATACATACATACATACATACATACATACATACATACATAATGTCATCTAGCTGCTTTAATGGAATCACTTTCTATGTACCCACTGGGATTCTTGGACAGATGTTTCAAAAGGCAGCCTCTTCATGTTGGATTTTATGCATATGATGACCAAATTGAGGCCTTTTGTTCGAACCTTTCTCAAAGAAGCAAGTGAAATGTTTGAGATGTACATTTATACAATGGGTGACCGACCCTATGCATTGGAAATGGCTAAACTTCTTGATCCCAAAAAGGAATACTTCAGTGGCCGTGTCATTTCACGAGATGATGGCACCCAGAAACACCAAAAGGGTCTTGATGTGGTACTAGGGCAAGAGAGTGCTGTCGTGATCCTTGACGATACCGAAAACGTGAGTTCACTTTTAATGAGCTGACATTGGTATCTAGTTTTACGTTGGAAGCATATTTTGATAAGTATTATACTATATGATGTGTGAATTTTGCTATGTCTACCTTTTTTTATTCTTTATTTCATTTTTTAACAAAAAAAACGTAAATAGGGAATAAGTTTATATATATGCTGACGACTGGTTACTGGGAGTTAATATGTGTCCAACATGGGTATGCTCAATTTTTTCGAAGTTTTTCATGTATTTATATTTTTTTGTAAGTTGTATTTCTACACCCGTGTCTGAATATGTGTGGGACATGGGTTACTTCCGGAAGAATGAAGAGATTGAGAAGCATAGAGCAACTTCAATGAACACAAAAAAGAAAAAAAATTGTTTGAATCGTTAGAAGATTGATGTATTTGTTGCATTCTCTTATTATAGGCGTGGACGAAGCATAAAGACAATCTGATACTGATGGAGAGATATCATTTCTTTGCTTCGAGTTGTCATCAATTCGGCTTCAATTGCAAGTCTCTTTCTCAGTTGAAGAGCGACGAAAGCGAGCCCGATGGAGCACTTGCTTCTGTTCTTAAAGTACTCCGACAAGTCCACCATATTTTCTTTGATGTATGTTGCATTTCTCATAGATATTAATTTCTTTAAGTTGTGACCACCTTTCAAGTTTTTTTCAGCTTCATTTAAACTTCTTGCAGGAACTTGATTCCGATCTTGCTAGTCGAGATGTTAGGCAGGTATGCCTTTTGTCATGATCTTGAGATTCAATAATGCATCACATTTAGACACTACTCGAGGCATCAAATGAATATATTTTGTTTCCGGAGACGATTGCCATTGAGTTCGATTCATGTTTTTCCTCCTATGCACTTGCAGGTTTTGAAGACGGTTCGGGAGGAAGTGCTGAAGGATTGTAAAATTATTTTCAGCCGCGTCTTTCCCACAAAGTTCCAGGCAGAGAATCATCTTCTCTGGAAGATGGCGGAGCAACTGGGAGCTACATGCTCGACCGAAACCGATTCTTCAGTGACGCACGTCGTTTCAAAGGATGCTGGAACGGAGAAGTCCCGTTGGGCGGTGAAAGAGAACAAGTTTTTGGTCCATCCACGATGGATAGAAGCTGCGAATTTCTTGTGGCAGAAACATCCTGAAGAAAATTTTCCGGTCAGCCAAACAAAGAATCAATGACACCATCTTTTCATGTAGTTTTATCTTTAAACGTACTGTTGATGAATGACCATATTTTAATGTACACATTAAAAGCTTCCACGTTTGGTTTGGAAGGATTCTTAACACTTCTTTTGTAGATTAAACTAGTTGTCTGATTTTCTGACTTCAAGGTGAAATAGGTTTGACTCAAAATTCGAGGTCGATTAGTTATTTTTCAAAGTTTAAACTCGAATTGATTTGATTCAATTCATCCAATAAAATTTTGACAAGGAAAGAAATCGTCTGAGATCAATCTTGAGATTTAATATGAATCAGGATTAAAGTAATATTCTTTGATAATACAAGAGTTGAATTAAAGAAAACCTTTCTAATTATCTGTTTAACTTTTTTGTATGAAACATATTTGATGGCATTTAATAATTTAAACAGCGATTAATATTATCGAGTTTAAATATAACAATAAGAGCAACTGCAAAATGACATGTGGCATCCTTTGCATTGATAAAGCCATTAATTGACGAAGCGCGGAAATTTTAAATCTTTTTAGCTCTTATTGCAGCTTAGTCGGGGGAATGGCGGCAATTAGCGATCTTTCAATGGATTCGGTTCTTTCTGGTTTCGATCAAATTTACGAGGTAAACCATTATTTCTCCGTTTTGTAGTTTTTCATACTCTTTTATCTTAGCTTAGATTAGCTTATCGAGGATTTCCTTTTGTGTTTGGATCCTGATTTAAGGTTGAAAATGGAGTTATTATTTAGAGTACGTGATGGAAAGTTTTTGAATTCACAAATAGAGGAATTCACTTGCTTTTTTTTTTGGGATCATTCAGGATTTCAAGAAGGGAATCGAAGAGATTCAGTTACTGAAATCGAATTGGAATGCAGAAATAAAGAGAGGAGAGGCTCTTGAAATCGCTTGCGACTCTCTAAAACAAGGTTGTTTCCTTAAATCCTTTTGATTTCTTCAAGGATCATAACCTGATTAAGCTTTTTCTTATCTGCTACCTGTCCCTGGTATTTCTCTTGTTTTTTAGTTATAATATTGTTTGATAGGAAGGAAAAGGAAAAATGTTGAAGATGAGAAATAGAGGGAAAGAAAGAGATCCCGGGGAGGGGGGAGGGGGGAGGGGGGAGGGAGTGTATATAAAATGAAATTTTCCTCTGATCATTTTTGTGAGGGAATTGGAAGGTGTAAATTTGAGGGAAGAAATGAGCTGTTACCATACAACTTTATGCTACTTGACTGCACATAGTCTAGAAAAAATTACAGGAGTACATATATGTAGCCGTATGCTATGCGTGTAGTTAAGATTTCCCATAAAAAAAATATCATTCCCAAAGACATTATTGCATTACTAGTTATCATCTGCTTCTGTGTTGAATTTACTTTCTCAGGGCCATGATTTGCTATTAGGGATGAGAATTGTACTTAAAATATTAAATAAAACATGCCCAAAAGCATATGAAATATAATCTTGTGCCGGTAAACATTATTTTATTTGATACTTTATTCTTCAACGTTGCTTACTTGATATATATATATATATATATGTAGTGCACTGTGGAATTATTATTACTTGTACTCAGAAAAATCCAAAGCACACTGATGAATTCAAAGCTTATTAGTTTCTCTTCCTTGGGCACCAGATGCCTACACAACCTAGCCTAGGTTGTTTCCCCTCCGGAAGTTTCACTCTTCCCATCCCAACTGCACAAAAACATCACCACAAGGTAATCATTACTAGCAACAAAAGATACGAAAAGCCGAACCCCGAATTTAGCCTAGTTGGTTCATACAATCACTTTTAGTAAACCCAAGATTCGGGTCTTGGTATTTGCAACCCTTTCATACACACAAAAGCTGAAGATTTAACATAAAATCTATTCATTAAAAAAAATTCGCGTATGTTATGATTACTTACTGTTCAGGAGCTTGCTCTCAGCCATGGTGATTATCAGAAGAAAAGACAGGAGCAGAAGGAGGTTAAACAGCACTGATGTTTTGATGTTAAGCCTAGCCATTGATGACCAAATGCGTCCCAGCAGGTACTAACTCTTCTTGCTATATATATGTTTGTGTGTGTAGAGATTTTGGTTTGATTTGCTTTTGAGAACATTGAAACCTATTTATAGGGATTAATTAGATGAACAAATTACATAAGGACTGCTGAAAAAATGGTTGTCTCCATAGCATGGCGGATCTTACAACTTAAACTATATGAACTATCGAAAAATAAATAAATAAAGGGGATTATATTGTTTTTGACATTTCAAGTTTTATCGTATTCCTTTGTTGGATTAGGAGATATATTTGTGATCGTTAAGTTCGTATTCACGAACATGTTCGTGAATCATACAATTAGCAAATAAATATATTTCTTATTTTCTTGATGTAAAATAATCAATATTATAAAATATTTATTATTATAAATAAATATTCAATATTCTTTAAGTATGTTTTACAGAAGAAATATTAACTTTAAATAAATTAATTTGTTCGTGAACGTATACAAATTGAGTATATTTTTTTTTTCAAAGTCACCCGTTTAATAAATTTAACTTGAAATTTACGTTCATATTTATTTATTTACCTCAGCAAATGAACATATGAACAATATATATATATATATATATAAAAACCAAGTAATTTACCAAATGCTTCTGTTCAGGGTTTTTGTGTTCGTAAATAATATAATTTCTTTCTAAACTTGAATTTGGATTTGATTTTATTATTGTTAAATTTTTTAATTGATGTAGTCAAATTTAAATATTTTAATTATGGAATTAGCTAATTGAGTTGTTATTTAGTTTTAGTTGATTAATTTGAATATGCATTTATTTAAAATTAAAAACAAAACTCTAATTAGAATTGAACTTAAATCTATAAGCAATTGAACTTGAGTTTTTAACCGAGTTGAATTAAATATATTGGATAAAAATATATTTGATTTAGAGAAATAAGACTTCAAATTTTTTTAAATAAGGTTTTATTATTCGAATTTAGAGTTATAATTGAAATAAATTGAATTGAGATAATTTATAATGAATTTTATAATAGTTAATCTAAATTAATTATTTAATAAGTCTAATATAAAAAATAATCAATTATAATTTAAAAGATAATGACGATTCCAAGGTAATAAAACCTTTATTGTCAACAACTTTTCTTCTTCTGATTTTAAAGGTTTTATCTTGATTAATCCTGACTAATTCGTGTTGACATTTTATTTTAATTCTTTTGATTTACATAAAAAGTGTGACTACGAGATCTTATGTGGATCTAAAGTTTGTATCCTATTATAATTCTAATTTATATTATCTATTTATAAAGTTACGTATTTGATAAGAAAATAAACTATTTTGAGTTAAATCAAAATAAAATTTCTATTTTAACTAATTTTTAATAGGGTTAAGTATTTGGATTAATAAGTTTTTAGATATAAATTATTTATTTGAATCAATTTAATTAAACCAAAATAATAAAGGACTAAATTAAGATGAAATTAAAATATAAATACTGAAATACAAACTTAAACATAGAATGGATACCAAAAGCATTATTTGACCAATTTACCGGATTAACTCAGACGCTACCGACCAGGTTTTATTTAAACGATCCATGCGAATGTCGTAGAACATTTATTAATCGAAACGAAAGATTGAATCGTACTCTGATCTCTATATTCGTAAAGTAAAAGAAACAAAATCAAATCACAGCAGCAATAATCTAGAAAGGCAACCAAGAAACCTGAATCGAATTTACAAACAGAGTTGAGAAAGATCCCACATCTCCTACTTTGATCTTCTCTTTGCTTGAACTAGTTCAATGATCCACACTGAAACGACCCCTGTTCATTGTCTCTTTTTCTGCATTTAAGTGATTAGGATTTGAACAATATTGGGTGTTTTAGATCTGGGTTTTTCATTTTGTGCATGATTTGAGTTGAAAATGGACCTTTCTGATGAATTCTGTGTTGGGTTCTTGAAATCTGGGTTGAAATTCTGGGTTTTGATCCTTTGATTGAATAAAGTTAAAAAAAATAGGGAAGTTAAAGGAGTTTTACAGATATAGGGAAGCCATTGATTTATAGATATTGGAGAAACCGGCAACGAGTTGTATAATAGGAATTTGTAGTGCAATTTAGTTTTACATACAGAAGAACACAACCCAAGTTCGTTCTCTCTTTTTCTGCATTTAAGTGATTAGGATTTGAAAAGGATTGGGTGTTTTAGATCTGGGTTTTCCAATTTGTGCAAGATTTGAGTTGAAAATGGATATTTCTGACGAATTTTGTTACAGATATGGGGAAGCCATTGATTTATGAGATATTGGAGAAACCGGCAACGAGTTGTATAATAGGCCTTTGTAGTGCGAGTTGGTTTTACATACAGAAGAACATCGGTTTTACATATAAGTGTTATTCATCTTGTTTTCAATATGAGTGCCCTATGGAGTCTTGGTGTTGTGGAACAATTAGACCATTTGGGTCTTGGAGTTGCTTATTATCTTCAGTACACGCTTGTTTTGGTCGTATTATCCGGTTTGCTTATGTTGGGAATACCACATCTTGATTCAACGCTTTAAGATCGAATATTTCCGGCGAGCGACTGCCGTTGGGTATTCTTGTGTTGTTTTTGGTTGGATGACAATTCTGTTGGTTAAGCAACCTTCGTCGAAGTTGGATCTTTTTGGATTTGTTTCTCTTCCTATCAGTTTTGCACCTTTCGAGTCGTTGATTTTCACTTCGATCATCATTCCGCAAGCGAGTTTTCTCGGGCAATTGTCTGGAATCCTTGTGGGGTATGCTATAGCTTGGGGTTTGATCCATGGGATGACTAATTATTGGGCGGTTTCCATGCTGGGATGGATTGCTCTTGTCTTCATTTTCAGTTTGAAGCGTTCTGGTGCATATGATTTTTTACTTTCTCGAGATCGAATCAGTTTCCGATCCATTGTTGCCTTCCGTTCGGTTTATTGGAAATGGTATAACATTGCAGGGTACAGTTCCACTTGGGGGCACTGAACTTGTCTAGTTCGTGTCCAAACAAGTTGCCGTTGTATGTGTCTGTCTGGATTGTTGAGTAATCCTTCAACAATGCTTCATGCTTCGCTTTCCGGTGTTCGATGGTAGATGGTAATTTCGGAGTCGGAAGAACAAGGACATTCTTGGTCACTAGACCTCGGCTGTGATCGTACAAGTTTGTGATGTTGAAAATTCAAATTCATCTGATATTTATATAATTGTTGAATAACTTGATAAATAAGAAAACCATATTTCTCTAAATTTCACATTTATAGATTCTGTTTAGTTCTAGTTATGTTACTCGAACTAGAGTGTGAATCTCATATATAGGTCAGTTAATTACATCATATGTCTCCAGACTATTATCTTCATTTTAAATTGGTCTTTAAACTTTTAAATATCTTAGTTTCATCCTCAAACTATGATACTCATTTTAAAATAGTCTTTAAACTTTTGAACATTCTAATTTCATCCTCTAATTATGATCTTAATAATATTATTTGACTTAACGATTTTATTAAATGGAACATAATTAGTATATGTATAAAAGCTTGGGTACTATAGTAGACCAAAATTGATAGTTTAGGTGCTAAACCACTTAAATTTTTAACAGTATAGTACTAAAATGAAATAACAACTAAAAGTTAGGTATAATTTTTAAAAAATAAAAAATTTAGGTACTAAAACGGATCAAAAATGATAGTTTAGATATTAAACGTGTAGTTTACCTCTAATAATATTCAATTAAATATTAAATAATCTCAAAAAAGAATTAACAATCGCACATTTAGCCGTCATGTCGATAAAATCTTCAGTACCCTTAGGATACCAAAGAAACAATTTCTTGTTTCTTTTACCAACAGTTGTCAAAGGAGATCCTTTGCCTTCGCCTCTTATCGAACTCGAGATCTATGGCGAAAACAAAGAGCCTTGGAATATTTTCGATAAGCATTCGAGACAGCTGTTTTGGGTTGTCACCAAGTTGAGGAAGAAGAATAAATCAAGATTCGATCAGATCGCAGGTTCCAGTTTTTGGCTTGCTCGGGCCTTGAAGGAAGAAGGTTTGGATGAACAGGGTCGGATATTGGGGATTCATAAGCTTTTCACTTTCAAGACCAAGAACGAGCAGTCGGTGAACCAAGATAACGGCCATTGGGTTTAGAGTTCTTTGTGGCATACATTGGAAATTGGATGGCGGGGAAGAGATGAGGTCGATTCCGGACGATGAGTCCACCTTCAAGGCCAAGAACAGAGATGCTGTAGGTTTGGATCGAAGCCTACGCTTGAAGCCATACGATTTAGAGATTCCAAATCCGAGTCGCAACGATTCGAATGATGACATTTGCGATATACAAAACAATGATGCCCGTCCGAAATGACGAAGAGACGAAGTCCATTTCGGAGTTTACTCTGAATCAAGAAGATTCGATCGATACCGTTATTTGCAAGTTAAGAAACAAAGAAGTCACGGGTTTAGATCCTAAACCGAATACAAAGAAGACTGAAACCCAAAACATGAAGTTGAATGATGAAAAGACGACTACAATTTCGGTTGCGAGGAATGTCCGGTAATAGAGAATGTTTGTGCCGATTCCGAGGAACCAAACCAAATTTGTTGTCTTCTCTTCATCACTCAACTTTGGGTTTTGGGTTCCAGTCTTCTTTGTATTTGGTTTAGGATCCGAACCCGCGACTTATTTGTTTCTTAAGTTGCAGATAACACTATCGATCGAATCTTCTTGATTCGGAGGAAACTCCGGAATGGACTCTGTCTCTTCATCATTCAGACTAGCATCTTTATTTTGTATATCGCAAATGTCATCATTCGAATCATTATGTAATCCTTTAATAATGCTTTGTGATTCGCTTTCCGGGGTATGACGGTACCGGAGTTGGAAGAACAGGGACATTCTTGGTCACTAGACCTCGGTTTTGATCGGAAAAGTTTGTTATGTTGAAATTTCAAATTCATATGACATTTATATAATTATTGAATAACTTGAATAAGAAAATTGTATTTCTCTAAATTTTACTAGTTTTATGTTCGAAGTAGAGAGTGAATCTTAGATATGAGTA